TGATGTGTACTACTCGTGGTAAAGTAGTGTACACTAGGGAAAATCTTCTGGCTATGCAAAGCACCGGACATGGAGTTAAGACGACGACTCTTTTGGGAGTTTAGTCTGATGTGCTTTGTGGAAACATGGTTGAAGGACAACATACCTGACTCCTGTGTGGATTTAGCCAGCTTCACTACTGTGCGTGTGGACAGAGACCTGAAGATGAGCGGCAAGAGCAAAGGTGGGGGTCTGATTGTGTTTGTCAACAGTAGATGGTGTAATCCCGGACATGTCATGGTGAAGGACGTGATTTGTGATTTGTACCGAGGGAATTCTCACACATCGTCGCCATTGTTGTTTACGTTGCACTACGAGCAGCGGCAGCAGTAGCATGTGATGTCATCCATGAAACGGTTCGCGAGAGTTCAGACCCAACATCTTAATGCTTTTACTGCAATAAGAGTGGATTTTAATAATATTACATCTTTCCAGGTTTGTACAGTATGTGGACTGTCCCACAGGGGAAGATGAGGTATCTTTTTTATGCCTATGTGAAGTTTACAGTGCAGCTGCTCTACCAATTCTTGGCAGGTCAGATCATAATCTGGTTTGTCTCCAGCCCACATACAGACCTTGTGTTTTGAGGCTGCCCATTACCACCCGCTCCATTCTTGTTGTGCGCCAGTGTTGAGGATGAGTGGAGGATGATTGCTTTCCTAACCTAACATTCTGGGGATTGTTGGTCCCAATATATCCAAAATCCAACTGCACATTTTTGTGCTTAGGCCCAAGTTGTGAAGTTTGGACACCAGAGCAGTGGGGGTGACCATGTTAAACGCCCAACTATAGTCAACAAAAAGCATGCTGACATATGTGTTCAGCTTTTCCAGGTGTTCCAAGGCAGTGTGGAGAGTTAGGCTGATTGCAACTTCAGTTGATCTGCTTGCCAGACAGGCAAACTTTTGCTGGTCTAATGTAGTAGGAATGGAATGTTTAATATGTGCCAGATCATATCTAACAAGAGGCGTGAGCACAATTTGAAAATAATCATTCTGACAGCTCACAATATGCTGTTTCGATATTGGCACAACTGTATTTGTTTTAAGGCATGTGACCTTAGCATTTCCTTATTGATTTTGCCAAAGAATGATTTTGGCAAAGAATATTCAGTTCCTCTGCCATTGAGAGGATACTACTCCTAAGCAAATAATTTCTTTTATAATCTGTGACAGACTGAATGCCCTGCCACATGCACCAAGGATTACTGTTGTTAAAATTATCCTCAATCCTCAGTTTACTTTAGATTAGCATTGGCTGTACTATAGGCTGCTTCTGCACCTAAGCAGCATCTCATTACTTCAGAAACCTCAAACTCGTAGATTTTCTTAGTGTTGGTTATGCTTTCAATGCAATACTTGATGTAGAATAGGACAGAAGAAGTACACCGTTCTAGATCTACCAAAGAATTGTTCTTACCAAATACATTCCAATCGTGCAGCCCTACATAGCATTTTTTTTTTTAACTGGGTGAGGATTGATGGTCTCTTGCGGACTGGATTGGAGTAAAAAGTCTTTATTTGGCTGAGAAATGTAGCAAAGTGAAAGTAAAGTGTAGCAAAGTGAAGTAAATATCTGAGACAAAAATAAAACTACTTAAGTACAGTAACAAAGTATTTCATTAATTCATTACTTTACACTCCGGCCCCAACCTTGTCTCCACTGCCTTTCATGGTGCTTGGAACCTTAACCGGCTCAGCAGCGTTTACCAGCTCTTCTTCAATTTATCAGATTGATCAGATACGTCTGTCCAAAGCAACGTACATCAAGGCAAGCGTAGCGGTGTCATGGAGCCGATGTAAATATACGTGGAACTTGACTGATCTTCCAGGGGGGCTTCGGCAATCTGGCATTGGATCATGAGCTGTACTATTAATTAAAAAACAGTGGAAGAACTAAACAGAAGGGCTGTTCAAGCTGAAACACGATGAGGACTATTTCTGTTTCTGAAAAGTCCTTTTTTTTTACATCTTCTTATATCTATAGGCTAGTTATTTTCTTTAAAATATTCTTTTTATATTGAAAGATTTGTTGTAGCAACAATTGTGGGTCATGCCAAAAGATGCCATGCTATGAAAGATGGTGGCCTGTCTCATACAGGTTGTGTTTTAGTCTAGTCACTAAAACTCATCTTTATCATCACAGAGATTTACCTACTTACCATCAATGGGCAAATAGGGTCTGACAAAATAAGCCATTTAACATCACATGGAACTACAGTAAGTACTCCAGTGGAATTTTGCTTGCCAGGCAAACAGAGGAACTAATTACTATAGGTGATACCTGTCACACATTCCTATAAGTAAGATGGATAAGATGGAACTGTTTTACTTACTGTTCCGTTGAAGTTGATGTCAAGTAATTCATGCCCATATGACTATGAATTCTCGCTAATATAACCTGTTTGTTGACTGGGTGTGAGTCGGGCGGACACACCTGGGTAACACAGACAAAAGTATTTGCTTATGGGTGGCAGTTGTGGGTAGCAGACAGGAGACTGATTTGGGCAGCCTGAGGCTTCGGCTGGCAAATTGGCTGGAGGTATGATCCTTTGGGAAGTTTAGGGACCCCTGCATGCTTTGGGAGGACAAGCTCACCATGAGGAGAACATGGAAACACACACAGGATTCAGACCCCCCACACACACAGGAAGTGTGTGGCTGCAGACCTGTCCACTAAGCCACCACATCGCCCGTTTGGTCAATCCCTCTTCAGCCAATGTGATTTGAACTGTGTTCTCTGCCACACAGGGTAATGTAATTACTGATTTACCATATGCTGTTTGGGGTGTTGCCCAGTGTTAATCCCTTAGGATTCCCCTTATATATGCCAGCCAATGCAATGGCTTACTGTACGTTTTTCACCTCATTCTGCATGTGCTAGCTAAGCACATTTATTTTCATTTGGTTTCATGTTCAAGGCTGTTTGTTTGATATTTGCCTCTGACTTGCCTGTATCACTTTGGTTTTCTCTTGCAGTCCAAATACATACATTTAGGTTTCTCTTTCTGGCCATCTTAGCCAGAAAGGGATGTTGTGTGTGTGGGTTTTTGCTGCAACTGCCTAATTAGATTAATAATCAGAGGACTGACTGCCTGAAGAGTCCTCACACCTGAGTTTGACCCTCCATTCACTCTGGACCTTTGTGGGTAAGACCCATTCTGAATTGTCCTTAGTAGGCGTGATTGTGTGACTGTGCCCTGTGATTGGCTAGCATCCCATCCAAGATGTCCCCTGGGTTGTGTCCTGTCCAGGGATGAGCACCAGACTTCCTGTGACCCTGACCTGGTGAAGAAGTTGTGGAAAATGGATTAATATCCCACCTCACCTATTTGATTTCTAATATAAAATACAAAAGTCAATTTAAACATCATTTGAAAGGGTCCTTACCCTAGTACAACAATACTTACTTATGGAATCCATCCGTCTTATATCTCATTTTAAAGACATCTTTAATAATTTATGTAATTCATTTTAAGCCTGACAAATACAAATTATTGTGGTCTCATGTTTCTTAACATTAATTACTTGCTCTTGTCAAATTTGGTCAATAGCTGGGTTTTTCAGTACATCACAAGATTGCAAAATGCCATCATCATCCTGACAATTCAATCCAGGTAGGGAAATTGCACATAAATACAAAAAGATACAGATATTTTCTTCTATGGAGGACATGAATGATATATTGATAGCATCAACAGCAAGATTATGTCGCAGTAGTAGTCTGTTGTGACAGAGCATGATGGACAGACAATGCAGATTCTATCAACAAACTAAAGGTTACAAAACCAGAATCAAAGGGACCATAAAGTGTCAAACAATGCAGGGAGAATATAAAGGCTAAAGAACAACACAACAAAACACAAATGGAAAAAACAAAGGCATTAATAGCACACACAAGCCTATACAATGACCCACTGAGGAAACAGGGCAGATACGGATATACACAAATAACAAGACTAGACAAAGGACAGGTGTCAAGTTCTACCCTGGAGACATGGGGAATAAAAGTGAAACAATCACAGTCTATAGCACCCTCCACAATTATTGGCACCCCTTCTAAAGATTTGTAAAAAGGGTTAGAAAAAATCCACCTTTTGATGAAGTAGCTTCATGTCACACTGAAAAATGACAAAAATCCAACCTTTCATTGAAATAAATTTATTCCAAGAAAAACAAATCATCAAGAAATAAATATTTTTTAACAAAAACAAATGTGCCACGATTATTGGCACCCCTGTAAATTATAGTGAACACAATGTAACTGAAGCATGTTTCCCCTGTAAACTGTACATCTTTGAGTTGAGTGGAGTGAATAGGAACCTTCAAGCTGCAATCCATGACTTCTTGGTTAACATGGATACGAACATGAGGTGACACAGACTTAATCGTCCATCAACATGGGAAAGATAAGAGGACATACAAACCAAATAAGGGAGAAGTGTGTTGACCTTGTTAAGTCAGGGATTGGGTATTAAAAAATAGCTACTTGCCTTAAAATGCCCATTTCTACTGTTAGGGCAATAATATAAAAGTGGACAACAACTGGAACTGTTACAAACCTGCCTGGAAGAGGACCCAAGTTTATTTTACAATGAGGAGGATCGTAAGAGAGGCAAAAAAAAAAATCCCCAAGGATGACTGTTGGTGAATTATAAGGCCAAGTAAAATCTTGAGGTTACCACATCTCTGAAAAAAACCATCAGTATTTGGAAGGTATGTCAGAAAAAAAACTTTTTTCGTCAGTTATTCAAATTCAAATTTTTATTGGTCACATAGCCTACGCAATCATACATAGTACAACATGCAGTGAAATGTATTTGCAGTGCCCGACCTATTAAGAATTAAATAGAATACAAAAAATAAAATAATAAAATAGCCAGCCTCAAATACATAACGGATGCTCAGTCCTTAACTGCTTGCTATTAGCCCACACAGCCACATGACAACCCAAGAAGCAAGAGAACACACTATGAACTAAGGGGCTATGACACTGAGGAAGGAACCGAATGGCCAGCAACACCAGTGGGTCAAACAGAGAAACAGCCAGAACAGGATAAGGCGGGTACTGACGCTGTCATATCGTGCTATAAGGACCTTCAAATCCCGCATATCAGCCAAAATCAACATTAGTCAGCATATTCAGGAAATATCTGCATTAACCGTAACAAAAAACAAGCAAAGAAAAAATATGAAAAAATAGATGAGTGCCGAAGCCACCCCGCGCACCGCGTCACGGATTATACCGCAGTATTTAAAGGACGGTGGAAGGTGAAGGAAGCGCCGTAATCCTCACGTGTTAGGCGCCCGGAGGTGATGACAACGCAGGTCTAATCCGGCCACCTTGTTGCTTTTTTTTTGTCAAGAACAGACAAGTAAGGTAGGACTAAATATATGTTATTGTTAACTATTTTATTAATTTTAGGTCGCAGTCGAACGATCCGTAGACATCCATATGATGCATACTTTGATATTTTTTTAAGTTTACATAACACACGTGTTGCAGGGGAACGTGTTGTAAACTTAAGTTTATATACGATGATCTTGAGCGAATGTTACGTAGAAAAAACAATTAATGTTAATGGTTTTCTGTTGCGCCTTGTCAGTCAAAGTGACCTGAACCGAGAGGCAGAAAATGCCGAGTGGTCTATTAACTTAAGCAAACACAAAACATGAAAAACACTAAATTAAACCGCGTAGCACCACGAGGCAGGTGGGCATTTGCTTCATGACAGCATAATTTATCTACTTAGATCTTAGTTTACATGAGTTTTTACAAAAGAAATACACATTCGTCACATCTTGAATATGAGTTTGAGAATTACATAGGAGGCTTTATTCAGGAAGGAAGTGTTTTTTTGGATTGAAGGCATAAATGAAACAGAATGAAATGAAAGTAAACTAAATGTTAATATTTATACCCAGTAAGACAGATACGCTTATTTAGCCTAATGCCACTAAAACTGGTTTTTGATGTGAAGGCTCAACAGCTTCTAGAGATTTATCTAGAATTATTACAAAAGGACTCATCTGCATGGGTCTTTACCGTCGCCTCCAGCATATTGCTGCATAATGACGAAGGAGAAATATCCCCCACGTAGGGTCTTCTGTAGCGTTAGATAAGGATAAACTGGGGAAACCTTTAGGAACGACAGTACTGTTACAGACCAACGTAGGAAGTCACAAAGCCAAACGAGTGACAAACCAGTTAATAATTAATAAACACCAGCGGCATTTGATAAGAAAAATATAATCACATATATTACTTATATAGCACAGTCCGTGGGTTCTGCATGTGAGGATTTAACCAACCGCGGGTAGAAAATGCTCGAAAGAAAGAAACATCCATAATGTTCTTTGATACACAACTCGAATTTGCCGCACGCCATGCACACCTAAATCCACGAGAATCTAGTGATGTGTAGGTAGAGAGAGAATGAATTTATATTTTCTCTATTTATGTTTTATATATGTCAGGGTTGCCAACTCTGGTCAGCTGGCTGGAGTGATATTTTCCATTCGATGTCTGCACACTCATTTACAAGTATGTAGCAGTTTTATTGCCTTCTAAATAGTCTGTAGATTTTGCAAACTACCACATGCAACTAATTTGGTATAGCTAATTTTGGAATTATAATGGAGTAATATAGATTTGCTGTAAGATTTCTTAAAGCGTGGGATTCCGATGTTTATAAATAACTGTTGGTGCAACCTGTGTCACATTTGTGTGAAAGAGCAACGCTGCACTCCTGACATAGAGCTGCTAGCAGTTAGCATTCGGCCATCTTACCTGTCATCGCGATAACTGTGTATGTTCCCCGTCTGCTAATGCTGCCGCAGCCTGCGAGCTTATTTACACTGTAGTGTCACAGTTGCAGACATCACACCCCCAAGCCGTTTTTTTTCCATCTCTGGAGACTTTAATTATGTCTCCCTGAATGCCACTCTCCCCACTTTCACGCAGTATGTAAATTGCCATATCGGAGACAATAGAACCCTGGATCTGTTATATGCGAACACTAAGGCTGCATACAGCTCATCATCCCTGCCCCCACTAGGCCGTTCTGACCACAGTCTGATCCATCTGTCCCCTAACTACATACTTCTGGTGAATAAACAAACACCAGCCAAGAGGTATGTGAGAAGGTGGTCTGCAGAGGCCAGCATGGCACTCAGAGACTGCTTCGACACAACTGACTGGGAAGTTTTATGTAGCTCACATGGGGAGGATGTAGATAGCTTGACTACCTGCATCACAGACTATATCAATTTCTGTGTAGATAACACTGTGCCTGTCACGAGGGTACGGTGTTTTCCAAACAACAAGTGACCCCAGCACTGAAAACCCTTCTCAATGAGAAGAAGAGGGTTATTAGATCTGGAGTCAAATGGGAGCTGAAGAGGGAAATCAGGAAGGGAAAGGACACCTACAGGAGGAAACTGGAGGGGCATCGTCAGGGGAACAACTCAAGAGAGGTTTGGAGGGGTCTGAAAAAACTTTCAGGCCATTGTAATGTCAGTGGACGGGGTCCAGAATCTGGTGATGGGGAGCGGGCGAACAAACTGAATCTGTTTTTTAACAGATTTGATGCTGCCCCCACTAAGTCATCAGGATTCACCCACCAGAGCCCTGTCATCCAACACCATCCCCCCCACCAGTCCCCCACTGTCACCAGGAAAACCCTCCTCAGGCTACCTCACCCCCCTCCACCCAGCATCAGGGGAATCAACGCAACCATCCCCCCCACCTAAATCTTCAGAAGTTACTGCTCAGCCCCTCCCCCTTCAGCCTCTCCATAACAGCNGAAGAAGAGGGTTATTAGATCTGGAGTCAAAGGGGAGCTGAAGAGGGAAATCAGGAAGGGAAAGGACACCTACAGGAGGAAACTGGAGGGGCATCTTCAGGGGAACAACTCAAGAGAGGTCAGGAGGGGTCTGAAAAAACTTTCAGGCCATTGTAATGTCAGTGGACGGGGTCCAGAATCTGGTGACGGGGAGCGGGCGAACAAACTGAATCTGTTTTTTAACAGATTTGATGCTGCCCCCACTAACTCATCAGGATTCACCCACCAGAGCCCTGTCATCCAACACCATCCCCCCCCACCAGTCTCCCACTGTCACCAGGAAAACCCTTCCCAGGCTACCTCACCCCCCTCCACCCAGCATCAGGGGAATCAACGCAACAGCAGATCAGGTGAGGAATGAGCTGAGGAAGATGAAGGTGTGGAAGACAACAGGCCTGGATGGTATCAGTTCCAGACTTCTCAGAGACTGTTCTGATCTACTCTGTGGGGTCATTCTGCACATTTTCAACCTCAGTCTCAGTCTGGAGAGAGTCCCCACCATGTGGAAGACCTCCTGTGTGGTTCCTGTCCCCAAGACTGCGTACCCCAGGGAGCCCAGTCACTTCATGTGATGAAGTGCCTGGAGAGGATCGTACTCAACCATGTTCGACACCTTGTGAGCAGTGAGCTGGACCCCCTTCAGTTTGCGTATAGACCAGGTGTCAGCGTGGAGGACGCCATCATCTTCCTGTTCCATCGGTCCCTTTCTCACATGGAGAGCACTGGGGGCACTGTGAGAATCATGTTCTTTGACTTCTCCAGTGCTTTCAACACAATACAGCCATCACTGCTAAGGGAGAAGCTGAAGGAATGACTTAGACTTAGAATGACAGAATTAGAATTTAGAGATCAGTGGTCATTGTCAACACACCACAGCACACAGTGCGCAACAATGAAATGTGTCCTCTGCATTTAACCCATATGTGACTTTTTGTGACATAGCAGGGGGCAGCTAATTCAGCACCCGGGGAGCAGTGCTTGGGGGCGGTACCTTGCTCAGGGTACCTCAGTGGTGCCTTGCTGGTTGGGGATTCGAACCTGCAATCTTTCAATTACAAGTGCACTTCCCTAACCATCAAGCCACCACTGCCCACCAGGGAGCTGGTGTGGATTGCCATCTGGCTGCATGGATCACCGACTATCTCACTAACAGACCACAGTATGTGAAACCTTGCGACTTCATGTCTGTTGTGGTAGTAAGTCTGCAGCACGGGGACTCCGCTAGGCACAGTGCTCCCCCCTCTCCTTTTCACACTGTTCACATCGGACTTCACACACAACACGGACAGCAGTCACCTCCAGAAGCTCTCTGATGATACAGCCATCGTTGGATGTTAACGAAGGGTAACGATCTGGAATACAGGAGGGTCATCGGCAACTTTGTTGAATGGTGTGGAAGGAATCACCTCCTGATAAACGCCAGTAAGACAAAGGAGATGGTGATTGACTTCTGCCACAAGGTGACTCCATCTGCACCAGTGAACATTCTGGAAGTGCAGGTAGAGGTTGTGTCTGTACAAATATCTGGGTGTTCACATAAACAACAAACTGGACTGGTCACACAACACAGAAGCCCTGTATAAGAAGGGGCAAACCCGTCTCCACCTGCTGAGAAGGCTGAGGTCCTTTGGTGTGTGCAGGACACTCCTAAGGACCTTTTACGACACTAAGGTAGCATCTGCTGTATTCTTTGCGGTGGTCTGCGGGGGGTGCGGGAGCTCAGGAAGGGACAGGAAGAGACTGAACAAACTGGTCAGGAGCGCTGGCTCTGTCCTGGGCTGCTCTTTGGACTCCACTGAAGAGGTGGCTGAGAGGTGGATGCTGGCCAGATTTACATCCATTATGGTCAGTCCCTCTCACTCCCTGCATGACACAGTGAGGACATTACGAAGCTCCTTCAGCAACAGACTACTGCATCCAACATCCGCAGGTCCTTCATTCCATCCGCCATCAGACTTTATAATACCTCAGTCACCTAAAGTTAATAAATTATGTCACTATTCTGTATATTGTGCAATACAACTATATTTACATCACTTGGTGCAATCTGTATACAGTTGGTACCTCGGTTCTCGAACTTAATCCGTTCCAGACTCCGGATCGAATCCTAAAGTTTGAGTTCTGATCAAATTTTTCCCATAAGAAATAATGGAAAACCAATTAATTGGTTCCCGGCCCCCCAAAATTACACCTAAATATGTTTTTATTTTTATTTATTTTATTTTTTTTAAGCATTTAAACACAAAATGAATAGGATAAAACAAGAAGAGCATTTTTTTCTTAATGGCTTCTAAAACGATAAAGATCTTATCCCAACATTACCCCTGTCCTGCCCCGATCGTCTGCTCCTTCCGTGTGCCACGCCCCCTTAACCTCATGTGGGATCCCCATGTGATCAGCTGTTTCTGGTTGTTGTCATTAGTCCTCTGTGTTAAGTCCACGTTTCAGTTTGTTTCCCCAGTCAGGTCATTGGGTGCGTTCGACTTGCTTACAGCGCTGGCTTAAAGCAACGCATTCTAATCCTGACGCAATGCATTACATTTGTCTCAAGCACTTCCTGCAGTCCAAGCAGCTATAAATTCTGCGTTTTTTTGAAAAGTACACTTTTCAAAAATGTTTGTTTTTATAGACAAAAATATCTCAGTGACTTACCTTAATGGACTCAAATGTTCATTGTGGTCCAGAAGTCTGAAATGCAAATATGATTGTTAATGATTCATCTAATATGAAAAAAAAAAATGTATAAAACTACAAAGTAAAGTTTGGGAACAAACTCGGAGTTGGTTTATCACTGACTGATAAAAAGCTTGAGAAATAAAAACCGTCATAATTGTATAAGGCTGAATTAGGTTAAATGAGATACCTGCTGTTTTTGCAGTAATTAATGAATGCAAGCAGAAGGGCAGTTGCTTATAGTTATGATGGTGTGGTAAAAAAGGTGGCTCTGTTTACTGTGGTGAGGTATCAAGACAGCAGCGTAGTACCAGTAGAGGGGTAGTAAAAGTGAATGAGTGTAGCTGCAATACTTACTGTAAAAGTGAATGAGTGTAGCTGCAATACTTACTGTAAAAGTGAATGAGTGTAGCTGCAATACTTTTTTGCAAAAAGCCTTAAGATCTTGATATTAACTTTTATGTGCTACAAAAAAACTAAGATTACCAATTCTGCTGTACCAAAAGAAGAACTCTTTTGTGGTCACATGGCAGTTGTGAGGCAAATTGTATAAGGGGAACAAAAAACACACAAATTAAAGCATCATGGCACAATTACTAAAACCTACAGACATCACAGCTCTGCTAGAAGTTCCGCTCGTCACTCGCATGTTGAAAGCGGATCCTTCACGCCCGCATGTGAGATATTATCTTTCAGAGCGAGAGGGAACATGAGACAGCAAAGGCCCTCGGTTATCCATTATATTTGTAGAAGCAGAGCAGGCAGCAGGGAGACGCTACCGACATACGGGAGACTAGCGGAACTTCCGGGAGAGTTGTGATGTCTGTAAATGTTTCGAAACGAGAGTCTCCTCTCCTACCGACGCCTCTGCTGGTTCCGACATTCCACTGTGTTTTTTATTCCTCTTTCCCAGCTTAAGTGGCTGCTTTTGGGACACGCCGTCACCACGCGTTAATCTTGGCCAGTTGTGTCTTTTACCATGAATCTTGCATGAAGGCAGTGGTGCTAATATATGCTTTTATTCCTTTTGATTTGCTACTATATATAATATGTATCCGGATTGTTTTTGTTTAATGTGTATAATTACACAGACTCTGTTTATTTTGAATTTGTTAATTTGTTTTCATAACACGCTGTCAGTGTGTTTAATAGAAAATTCACAAAACACGCATAAACCGGTTACATATACTATATGAGGACATGTATTAAAACTACAATTAAAGCTTTGAAAAAAATAAAATACTTTTTAGGCCTAATATAAAAAGCCTGTTGTATACTGTAAATAGGCATTTGACTCCTCACGTTGTTAATGGTATAGTGCAATCCATGTTGTGGGGCACAATCGCACCTGTAAGGATTATGGCGCCGGTGTACCACCCACCCCTAAGTGACAGTACATAGTAGTCTGCATAGTCTCCTATATTTTTTATTCCCAAAAGATACAATGTGTTCATTTTGTTCCTTTTGATGTGACAGAAAAATGTATAACAAATACAGAACATTTTTCGTGGCAGACTTAAAATTATGCCCACTGTGAATTCTTATACACAGAAACTGAAACGAAATGCAAAAATGCTTCATTTATCATTTTTGTACGTGAGAAAGTAAAATTTGAGGGGAATTTTTTTTTTTTTCCTTCATTCTCTGTGACAGCTCTTCCGCTGCCTCTAGTACATGATATTTGCAGTTGGGCTTTACAGACCTCGTGGGTGAGGCCAGTTATCTATCCATGTCGACATCGAAGGCACAGACATGAATTGTCTCGATACCTTCTGTGATAAAAGTTTGAATTAAGTGCAGTACATCTACCACTGTATCATCTGCATCTCTTCATTCCCATTCAGACAGCCATGCAATGTGGCGTATTTTTCACCAAGTAAATGTATATAACACATATATTACATATTTTTGGAAATGTATGTAGATATTTCTAGATTTATCAGATTTCTGTTCTATCTATGGTACTCATTTGTTCGGCTTATTTTATAAGCAACATTGAAGTTCTTCAGTTGCCTAAAGAAATAGTCTGTGGTTTGCCTTCTTGGTGAGGTCCTCATTTTCAGAAATGGCAGGTGCCCAGAAATCTGAAAGAGTCCATTACTGTTATTTGCTGATCATTGATATGGAGTGTGACTTGGGTGTTCTGTGAGCGCCTGAAATCCACAATGATCTTGATGGTTTCAGGTAGGGGATGGGCCGATCTACATTTTTTCAGCTCCAATTCGATTCCGATACCAGTACAGATTCCGATACTCAACTGCCGATACCGATTCATGATCTCTTTTTACTTTAAAATTTTACTGCCACTCCCACCATATGACAATCCACCTCAGGGATGAGACCTGAGTGCAGCCATGGAGCGGGTGATACCTCAGCACCACACCAGTCCAAAAGGACCAGTGTGAGGCTTTTTTCCGGTGGCTGGAGTGCCAATCCTGCCACCAACCCCCAAATTTCCCTGTAATTTGGAGGATCTGCTTGCAGGGCTGGATGTAGGTTAATGTCATACCCAGGACAAAGCGAATGTAGGTTGAGGGCTTTGCTCAAAGGCCCAGTGAAGTAGAATCACTCCTGGCATTCACAGGATTTAACCCCACCCTCTGAGCCACCACTCCTCCCCATACAGGTTGCCTAATACATACCCAGTATTTTACATACAGTAAACAAAATTGCAAAATAAGAACTAAAGATAGCCAGCTGCTCGCACTAAACACCACTAACTGAGCCACCAGTCGTACTGCCTCAGATAAAAAGATTAAAGCAACATCAGGGAGATTAACACCCAGATCATTAAATTTATCAACCCTTAATAATTCAACATTTTAAAACCCCTAAACAACAGCAGTTTACCCTATAATTCAGTGCCCATTACTTTTAAAGAAACAAACAAAACAAAAAGAAAAATACAACTATAGTCCAACAACAATAAAAAAAGAAACACATTACTGCATCACATATAAATACCTGACTTTTCTAGACTGGTGACGTGTAATGCCAACTATTCCTAGTCGCTGAGTCTCCATCTACAAAAATTCCACATATAGTACATTATGTTTTACAATTATTGTTGTTACTCTTTACGGCATTTCAAAACAAAAGAAACACATACCAGACCAGGTAAGAAAACAGACAGGCAACTACACTGTAAATTCCCCACAAGTTTGAAATCACCATCTTGTTTGTAGATTCTAACACAATTAAATATGTCCACCAATGCTCCATGCCAACTACACATGTCAAGACCCCAGCTGTCTTTCCTATGCCTGTCTACAATCCACTGGCTTTAATATTCACATTTGATTTTTTAATAGAGCTGTCCTATGATACGAGCTTATTATTGAACATGGAAAAGAGTTGTGGGTAGAGCACATAACCTTGTGACACTGGTCACTGGTACTTTAGTGCTGATGATTAGGGCCCATAGTCAAAAAAGCATTTTGAGGCTAAAAGTAGCTCCAAACTTACCAATTTAAGAGAAACTCCTAAAAGTTATGGGCGTGTTAGTTCTAAATGTAGGACTCCTCATTTTTTTGATTAAGAACAATTCACAAAGCTCCTTAGCACTAAAAGTAGCACCTAAGTCTGGGAGAGCTAAAAAAGTAGTCGAGAGGACTCCTAAGTCACTAAGACCAACTCACAAACAGTTGCAAAATGGCTTCTGTCAATCCACGTTGCACTGCTTGGGAAAATTAAACGAACGTTGAAATACTTAAATAATACTGCCTCAGTCGGGAGGGAAAAATGATGGTTGTGGAGCTTGTGAGACATGCAATAACATCTCCAACAAAGCGAAACAACACAAAGCGAAACAACCCAAGCATATACAGTGGAAACCATTTATAGTGATCATTATAACCAATTTCATTTTTTAAAATGTCTCAAGCAGATTACCATCTAATTGACATTTGTATATGTATTACATGAATTATAAGGTAATAAAACGGACAGCGTCTGGTCAACTCAGTTTTGGCAGTTTATCATAAGCTTTGATGAGTCTATATTTGTCATTGAGAGAAAATTACTTTCTTTTTCCCGTCACGTTTTCTGTGTAGACAGAATTAGCCTCAGGTAGCTAGCCAGAAGCATACGGGTTACTGCAAGGCAAAGTAGTGCGATCAAAGTAAAGGAAAAAGAATACCGTAGTTTAAACTGTTTCCATATGTTGTCATGTTTAAAAATAACAAAAATGAACACTGTAAATGGACTACTCGTTTAGGATAAGTGAATTATTTAAACAGTATTTGTAAGGAATGATTCTGTCCCAACCTTTTTCATCCATATAAGCAGTTGATCACTATAACCATGATCACTAGAAGCGGTTTCCATTTGTTCCATTTATTTGCGCTTATGGGATGCTGCATATAAATATTCACCAGTCTCTCATTAACCAATCCCCGTGGTTATTGCAGGCAAGTTTGTGCACGAGAGCTGATGTCAGCCAAAGCGACAGAGTCTTACTCTTATCTTAGGAGTTGGCTCTTTTCCTAAATAAAAGTTACTCTCTGCCACTTTGTGAATTGGTTTTAGGAAAAAACCTCTTTTAGTGAGATTTACGATTACTCATAGATAAAATGCTTTGTGAATACAGGCCCAGGTGGGCAGACAGTAAACGGTTCATCTTGACAGGCTGATGTTGGCAGGATAAGTTCAAATGCCTTCATAACCACCGACATTATAGCAACAGGTCAGTAGTCATAAAGTCAGCTGGGACTGGAGGATTTTGCTGCGGATTTTGGTTGCTGTGGGGCCATTGGCCAGTTGGGAAGCACAACGGCTGAATACAGGAGGGGTTACATTGTCAGGATCAGATATTGACTAAGACAGAGATAATCTTGCTTACTCATTTAGTTAAATGTATACCGATATACAATAATTGGGAAATTGCTTTAAGGCTTGTAATTGTAATTGTAATTGTAATTGCTTTAAGGCAGGTTGTAATTCCTAAGGTTATGACTGCAGATTGGGGAAAAGAAATGAGGCAAATAAGACAAAACATAACTGTATTAATTTAAAATTGTATCTTTGTTATTGTGTTTTTTCAGACTGAAGGTTTCAGGCCAAAGACCAATGACGAAGACAGCTTATACCTCTCTGCTGGGAAAATGTTTAGGAACCTGAATAAATTCAGAAAGTTATTATTGATTGGAATATTTATTTCCACCATAGGATACTTTTTTTACATTAAATTGGAATTAAGTCTAAACTACAATTTTCTAGAGCTCACTGATAAGCGCATTGAAAAATTGTGCAACTGTACAAAGATCCTGAAGAAAGATCAAGAGGAAATTGCGAATGCAAAGTTGAATTTGATAACCAAAAGCTTTCGAAACAGAAGCACGATTTCAGACAAGCATTACATTGAATGGACTAAAGACTGCGAGAAATTCCGAGTAATGAGGAAGTATCTGACTTTTCCCCTGAGTCATGAGGAGGAGGTGTTTCCTATCGCATACTCCATAGTCATTCACCAGAAGATCCACAGTTTTGAAAGGATGCTCAGGTCTATTTACAGCCCACAGAATTTTTATTGCATCCATGTTGACCAAAAGTCTATGCCATCATTTCAGACTGCCGTGAAAGGCATTGCTGCCTGCTTTGACAATGTCATCGTTTCCAGTAAACAGGAGAGAGTTGTGTATGCTAGCTGGAGCAGGGTCCAGGCTGACATCAACTGTATGGAGGACCTGTATAACCTGAATTCTAACTGGAAATACTTTATAAACCTCTGTGGTCAGGACTTTCCCATAAAAACCAACCTGGAAATAGTGCGGAAACTGAAAGTTTTGAATGGCAAGAATAATCTTGAGACCGAACAAATGCCAACATACAAGAAAGTCAGATGGGAAAAAGTACACAAGATTGTCAACAATAACATACAGAGAACAAAAGAAAACAAAGAAGCACCTCCAGTTAATACCCCTATATTTGCAGGGGGTGCTTACATCGTGGTTTGCCGGGATTTTGTGCGATACGTTCTTCAGGATCCAGCAGCACACCAGTTGATCAAATGGTCGAAAGACACCTACAGCCCCGACGAGCATCTGTGGGCGACGTTACAGAGGCAGCCTGGAGCTCCTGGCTCCGTCCCCATCAGTAACAGATATGATGTCACCGATGTGAATTCAATTTCGAGGCTAGTGAAATGGCTGTATTTTGAAGGACAAGAATCAAAGGGAGCCATGTACCCTCCCTGCGAGGGGCATCACGTCCGGACTGTGTGTGTTTATGGTGTCGGGGACCTCAAGTGGATTCTGCAGCAGCCCCATCTGTTTGCCAATAAGTTTGACTCGGACGCAGACTATTTTGTCCTGTACTGTTTAGAAAGTTACTTGCGCCATAAGGCCCTGGCGGAGATGGACTGATAGATTTTGTCTCTTCAAGGTAACTCCCAATGCATGTGTAACATTTAGCTAGCCCATCTTGCTAAGTGAAGAAGATACTGCTGAAGGCGTAAACGGAAATGACCAAAGTATTTGCCACAGAAAGCCTGCTGTTTGAGCCCTGGGAAAGGAATATTGCTGCTGCTAACGGTGTATAAGAGTTGCACATACTGTATGTGTTTTATTAATGATTGTTTGTTATCAGTAGCATCCACCTGTTTTTGTTTAAATATATTCCAGCATCACTTGAAATGAATAATGAAACCATTCTTCATTTGGATTTTCATTTCACACCACAGAAGGGCTGTTAACGACATTTTGGAATAACTAGGGTGTTTCTCGATATGCGTACTTGACCGCACTTGACCATACTTATGTTCTCTTGCACATGTTTTGCGGCATCTTCCAATACTCCAGTATGGAGGACGGTAAAAAAATTCTGGATGTTGTTCTTGCCCCACCCCAAATATCAAGGATACATTGGTTGAACCCTCACCAAATGAAATCAGTCCCATGATTCATTGTGCCAAAGTTTGTTCTTTGTAGGCAAATTAACAAGACTGGTCTCGCCAAGACCATAAGTACGATCTTTGTGTTCTTGGTTTTGAGAAACACCCCATAATTTTACGTTGTCACACAATCACAAGACTAGATTTCATGAATAGGAGCTTTAAATATGAAAACAGAAAAAAGAGAAAGCATTTAACAAAAATATTTTGCCTTTCTGTAACCTTTCTTTTCCAAAAACTTGGGCTTCCCAAATCCCTTTTTCATCTTAGCAAAACAGGGGGTAAAATAAGAATACGGATTTTTATCCATACATCCATCCACCATTCATCCATTACAGGGACACGGTAAGAATATATTACTTAATATTTCTTAAGAAAAGTAATTATTCTTACAAAAATATGTAATGATACTGACTCATTTATCAAACATTAAAACTTCACTAAAAAGAGCACAAAAATGTTGAATGACAGTTTTGAGCTGCATTTCTTAACCATGGGAACTATCTAAATTATTAAGTCTTTTTATGCAATTTTACATCCGTTGCATTATTGGACTGCAATGGGAGTGTTAGCTGGGAAGATAGTAGGTGGTGTTAGATCTTGTAGGATTATGCTTATTTTTATGATTTAATTGTTAACTGTGTTTATTGGTATTAAGGTTATCCTTAGGTCTAGATGCATTCATGTATTCTTTCATATTGCTTTACAATAATTAAGGTTACTACTTATGCCCTAAACAATTGGGGAGCAACATTACAACCCCTGCAGTCAATATGGACGCCATGACATCTGTGCAGTCAGGTGTGTGCTTTAGGGCACAGTGGGGGTTGGGAGAAAGTTAGCCCATGGATTTCCATACTCTCCCAATGAAGAATGTTAAAATTCAGGTGTTTTCCCTGTGCATTCTTGACTTGTTGATCAGGGCTACTCCGGCAAGCCCATGATAAGAGAGAAGGAATAACGCAATGACTCTGCAAGGGGCAGGACTATTAAAAATAATTAGTATCAAGTATACATATCATGAAGCCATGATAACAATAAGCCTTAACAGGATATTAGCTAATATTTGACTAAGTAACTTTCCTGGAACATAGTCAGAACAAAAGCGGCTTATTTAACTTATCTTTTTGGCATCACATTGTTAAAACCTGTTAATGACGGCATTGTTATCATAACCACAAAGGTAAATATAAGGCATGTATGCACCTGTGTTTTTTCAGGTTAATCTTATTGCGAATTTCATGGACACATTTATTACAGTTTTCAATAGTAAAACTGTTATTATTTTTTTAATCATTTTATAAAATGATTAAAAAAATAATAACAGTCCATGTTAAATGTAGTTGTTTCTGAACAATCATGGACGGAAAGTGCAGGCTCTTTATTCCATAGCTGTACCCATACAGTTATACCCTGGCTCAGGCTCTTTATTCCATAGCTGTACCCATACAGTTATACCCTGGCTCAGGCTCTTTATTCCATAGCTGTACCCATACAGTTATACCCTGGCTCAGTGCTCAGTTTTGTTTCTCCTACTTGCCTAATCCAGTCTTATTAAACCTGATCCATGTAACTTTTTGACACATTTCCCTGTATACTGTGTATATTTGTAGATTTTATTTTATATCACTGCACATATACTCACTGGATTTGGAGTATTTTTGGATGTTATATAAATAAATTTGCAATGGATTACTCAAAGCTATTCCTTTGTCACTGTTACGTGAATATATCCTTATGCCCTAATATTAGTCCACACCCTAACTCAATGTACTGTCCAAATTTAGTCTCTTAGAAATAACTTTGGAAATGTTAGCTACAAACCCATCATCCCGGTCAGGGTAATAGGGGGAGCTGGAGCCTATCGTGGGCAGCACAGGGCAAAGGCAGGGTGCACTCTGGACGGGATGCCAGTCACACACACACACACACACACACACACACACACACACACACACACACATATACTGTACACGCTCAATTCTAGAGATGCCAATTAGCCTCACTGCGGGACAGAAGGCCTGTCCCAGGAAACACAAGGAACAATGCAGGAGACACACCTGAATGAGATGCCAGTCCACCCCAAGGTAAAATTTTGTTTTAGTAATGATAAAGCCATTACAACAGAATAGGCTTGACATCATTGAGATGGACTGGCATTCTACAAGACATTCGGGTATTTCATTCAGTCACTTTATTCAGCCTTGATTGCCTCTTTCTGGAAGAAACTCCTACTTCATGTCAACGTTTAGGTTGAATTTCATCACAAGTCATGCTAGTGATGTTTGAAAAAAATAACACAATGACACACCACAAATACTGTTAACAGTAATCGTCTGTACGTAAGTTCAAAGGTTGTCCAAGTCTTAGATACAACACTGCATGTAAACCATGACGTCCAGACCTTTGTGATGCAACATTTATTCAATTTGCATAAGTGACATGATGCACGAGATTTTAATAGTTAAGTCCCCCCAATCCAGATGTTATGTTGTAGTAGAAATTTTACAGAACTGAGCTCCTTCTGAAGTACACTTACATCAGGGCCAACATGCAAACAATCCTGGTCTGAATTACTGTGATTTGCTGTTTTTATATACATATAAAACACACATTTTTAAAATATATATTAGCAAAGTAAAAATTATATTTCATTTTCCATGGCTTTTAAGTAGAATTTCAATAAAGAACAAATTTTCCATGCATTTATAACGGTTATCTGTACTGAACACATATCGACTTATTGCCAGTACTTAAACAAAAAAAGGACAGAACAGAATATGAATCAGCCACTCTAGCTAACATTAGAATGGCTCTCCCATTCCTCTACATATTCCTTGCATGTCAGTGTTTGCCATACGGACTATGAGTGTGGTGTGAAAAGGACGTGTGGAAAGTTATGATTAGTACCCACTGGAGACACATTTGGGGGCTACTGTCACCCTCCACACACCATCAAAATAGCAAACGTGCATGTTTGAGGTTCGAGTACAGGTCCTGATTCTGTGAGAGAGCAAGCACAATGCTGGACATGTTAAAATATCGCTGAAAAACAACAGGAATATGATAATAAACATTATTAATATTATGACACTGATGAGTGAGGAGACATGGAAAACTTGAAACAAATCTTTAAAAATATTAAGACAAAAAAAATAGAAATCAGGCAAGTGGCTAGGTAATCTTTGTCCTTATCAAGAAATTCTGGCATATTTCAGGATTCACCGACAAATTTCAATTGCAAAAGAAAAAGTGCCAGAGTGGGAGTGTTTTTAAAAAAAAAAAAAAAAAAAAACTCTTCAGTTTGATTGAAGCTTATTCAGTTCTGTCACCACCCGTATACTGCTGACTCAGCTGCCAATTATCAGGGTAGGTCATATGAATTTGGGTGGCAACATTTCTGCTCAAAATATGCAGATGTTCAAATGAATCAGCAATGTCAGAAATTACTCTAGTCTATGCTATGATTCAATATAATAAAATAATTTAAAAAAATTAAATACTGGGTCTTAACTTAAATCAGCAGTGCTGCTGGAAAGAATTCAGATTATCTTACCTGAGGTTAACTTCAGATAAATAATCTATCATTTGCATCTACATCACTAGAATATACAATGACATACACTGCAGATAACAAGTCTTCAGATGAGGATGCACTTTGTGAGCACAGCTTGCAGACAGTCGTGTCTAGGAGTCGCTGGCGTTGAGGCTTTTGTCGGTCCTAAACAAGGTGACAAAGGGAAAAATCCCCATTAGCCGCACTAGTGACATCACAGGGAGCACCAGTACACTCAGACCATATCAGGGGATGCATGGAGGAATCAGTGGGGGAGGGAGAAAAACCCTTTGGGAAACAAGTGAAAGATCTTGGGTGTTGGCATCTGTTTAGAATGAAAGGGACTTATATGCTCTACACAGTCCGGAAAGAACTGGAGCGCAGATCTGAACCAGACGGCTGACTCTGAAGCTCCATTTACAGAGATGCAACAGTAAAACGAAAACAAAAATTCCAAATTGACTGCATTTCAAATAGAATCTTAGACTTTGAATGCTATCAAACATCAAAATAGCAAATTCCCCTGTGCCAACTGAGAATGACTGGAATAAAAACCTTCCATAATTATTGCAAATAAATGAAAGTATTCAGGTCATCTCTGACACGCTTGGTGTACATACTGAATAAGGTGTCTCGTCTCCCTGCGCAAAATCTCCTGACTGATACTTCCAAAAGATTCTGAGTAAATATAAAATCCAAGACGACATGGGATGGGAGATGATTAACTGACTGTGTTTTCTTTTACCGTTTATACTGACCGTTGCACTGCATCCACAGACGCACCCTATACATCTGCAGTTCTTTTATAATTTTACTAATATTAAGCAAAACTAATAATTGATGAAAGAGGGTGTAGCACATTGAGGTCAGCTCTTCATTCCAGACATTATGCATGCATTTTGAAAATTGATTTTTTTAATGTATCTGTAGCACTAAGTTTTTTGTATAATGTTTTTCTCAACTTAATGCGTAATACCAATGTACAAAACCAGTACAGTACATGAAACAGAGACTACTCCTAAAACTGGGTACTGGTTGACTATCTAGGTACTGGTTGACCATCTGGGTACTGGTTTTAAACTACTAACATTCAGAAAAGTGTCAGATACATATTCATATATGTCTTATACTGGAATATGGCCAGACAAGTTTATTGCTTTTGGTGGAACAATATCTTTCCATTTTATACATTACAACAACAAAGTCTAGGTAGGGTCTAGAGAGTTTTTGAAAAAGCTTGTTTGCTATCTTAAGGACTTGAATCAAAGGCAGCTGGACTTCTTTTTCAATTCCTTGAAGACTTTTCACCTCTCATCCAAAAGGCCAAAAGTTTCACACCTTGATTCACACTTTGCCCTAAGTGACCCTAATGACCCGTTGGACAGCAGGGTGTGTCAACGATCACTTTCAAGGTGAGAGCCCCAGATAAGGATAAATACCTGGAAACTCCTCATCAGACTTTTAGAATTGAAGAAGCCTTTTGGATGAGTCATCTTCAAGACACTGAAAAAGAAGTCCAGCTGCCTTTGATTCAAGCCCATAAGATTATCATGTCCTGGACGACTGACAACGATCACAGACACCTTGCTTGCTATCTACTCATAGCTGTTAAGTCTCCCATTTTGGCCGGGAAACTACCGTATTTTACCCCTCTTTCCCGCCGTCCTCCCGTATTAGTATTTTCCCGTAAATCTCCCGTATAATAAAATAAAATTTAAAAAAAAAATTCCTCTGCCTCTCCAAACTGAACTGTGAGTAGCCTCACGAGAACTGCCACCTGCAGTAGTCTGCAGGTCATTTACAACATTAACCAGGTCATAAATGCGGAGGTTAAAATGGCAATACTGTGTGCCAAAAACAACGTTACTATCACCTTCTGTGACGACTTCAACAAGGATACAAAGTCTGCAACAAATCTGTATAATAAGTCATTAGTGAATGCCAGAGAGCCACGTGAGTGAACATGAGAAATTAAAAGAAAATGTGTAATGTAAATGACAAGTGGTTATTTTAGATTTCTTGTACACCCGTCTTAAAATCGCGGTGGGTGCCAGAAAATTTCCCTTATTTTCAAATCCAAAACTTGACAGGTATGTATCTACTGTCTGTCTCCGCTGAAGCACATAAATGGGAATAAATTACGAATCACTGACCGACATCCCGTTTCTGTGAAAGAGTCCATCAGAATTGACGTCACACAGAACACACATGTGACGTATGAATGTAATAAATAAGAGTAGCACAGCTTCAGAAAAGAACAACATTCAGACATGTAACTCTTACTCCAGTTGGCCAGAAGCGGGCTCTGGTCCGTGCAGAAAGCTGTTGAGTCTAAATAAAATGAAAAGATAGAGAAAGAAAGAGTGATGAGAACCTGCTGCATGTGGACAAGGCATTAAGACCGAGAGACACCATTCCGCTTAAAGACCTAAGGTGACACAGGGTGATGAAGCTGAGGCAAAGTTGTATGCACCTGTCAGCACAAGAGAATGCAGCTTCATTCGCTCTGAGAGGCTGCATTCCTGCATGTAAGTGGGGCTTCCTGGCATTCAGCAGTGCCTCACTGACAGTTATTGATGTTTTTGTACAGCACAGCACGCATTAGAACTGCTGCCAGCTGCCACTGAGAATAGACTCAGCATGTACAGGATTGTGGTGCAGGATGTTTCTAGCATCTACATATCTAGAATTGTTACACCTGTGACTATTTATATATGTACTTTATAATTATTTGTTGTATTGACACACCTAAAAAGAAAAATGCCCTATTATTGTTTTGTTTCATTCCTCTCCTGAAAGGTTGCCTAATGTAAACCTCTGTAATGTAATTTGCAGATTTATGACTCCCAGTAATGACTGTGAGCGTGCAGCTATTTAATAATTTTTGGGTATTCAGTGACTCGTATCTTGTGTGTGTGTGTGTGTATGTGTTTAGGGGGGTGGGGGGTTGGGGGTAGTTCGGGTCTCTACCAATGTTGAAATCAAACCTAAGGCCTTGCTGGTTAATGAGATATACAAAGTCAAGCTCTATGAAGAAATGTTACCCAGGAACCACAGCCTGCTTAGGCTCCTTAAAGATGCAGTATTCAGTGAGAACCAGTGCTCTGCATGTGCTGCTGCTAAGCAGCAACATGGGCTGTGTCCCATTTCATGGGCTGCACCCTTCTAAGGCTGCATTTTAAGACCGAATTCATCACAGCATTGCGATAAGACTGTCCCATATTGAAGGCTCCATCAAATGTGTGTCTTGGCTTGGTGGTAGGAGCAGTGCTTTGCGACTCAAGGGTAAGGGAGCGAACAGCCGGTGAAGGCCAGATCTTCTCTTTGACCTTCAAAGAACACAGTCTACAAAGGCTATACCTTCGTAGACCACATCTGTCGAGGGATGCAGCCCCTGAGTTTTGACACATGGATGGAGTCCAGGAGATTTACTACTGAAGCCGCCCGTGAGGTCACACACAGAGGAGACACACGTGCGCACACACACACATGCGCGCACACACATGTACAGACAGCCAGGCTTACTTATCCATCTCTGCTGCTTCCTTTAGCTTCTCATCCAGCCTGGGCAGCGGCCAAAGATTAATCAGGGGTCAAAGAAAAAGGAAACAAGAAGCGGGACACAAACAGGAGAGTCAGCAGAGCAGCGTGGGGGTAGCCAAGAGAAGCGGCCACACTCAGGGCACCACCTCCACCTTCGACAACGACACCACTTGCTACAGACAACCGCGCTCATGCAGTAACGGAAACAGGGGCTGCAGGTGCAACTTGACGCATTCTGAGAGTGACCCGTGCCCTGAACATTATCTCTAGCTGTGACTGGGGCTTATACATCCACAGACCCCAGTGTTGGCATCTTTGGCAGGTCGGGGAGGGGAGGATTGGGTAGGATGATTGGGAGTGCAGAGCATGGGTAGGGTGCCAACATCTACCCAGCATTCCTCCTTTTACCTCATGCGAGCGTATCGTATGATACCCCGCTCTTCTTCAAAGCTTCCGGGGAAAAGGTGGGAAGGAGGCACAGTTAGATTAGAAGCATAGAGGTTCAGGTCCCAACCTGAGCTTCTCCTCCACAAAGTCTTCTCCAGTTTCAGCATGCTGGCACATTATTAAGCACTAAAATGCTTGTCTGTGTGGGGAGTCCATCAGACTCCATTGCAAGTAATGGTACAGAGTACTACAATATTTGACACTGGAGAATTTTCCAGGGTAAGTACTGAGTTAAGGTTTCCCTGTGGTCTGCTGCAAATCTCTCTAGTGCCCCTCACAGTGTCAGAGCACCGCAGCAAAGACCCATCCTTGCTCCAAATGTTTACTGCCTACTCACTGTGGCAATTGCTGATCTTGTTGAGGAACTACAACATCAATTACAATATTTAAAACATAAAGACTGTTGAGATTCGACACTGAAGAGAAAAACTTTCTTAATTACAGAGGTTTACAAAGATCTCACTATTTTTAAACAGATGTACACTAGTGGCCAAAATTGTGGAAACTCTGAGCATTTTTGGTATTACGCTTTAAAGATGGCTACACAGATACTGGTGGTAATGTTTATAAACAAAGAATCTTACAAATATCATACATTGCGTGATTAAGTAAGTAACTGGAGCAACAGCTGAATGAAGTTCTGCAATATCTAAAAATTAGAAGTGTTTCCACAATTTTAGCAACAAGTGATTATGAATGGGGGGACATTTTTAAGATCACTGTGGGCCTGTAAACCCCAAAGAGGGAATGTTCACAGAACTCAAATAAATGTACATTAAATTCTCTAATGATTTCATTCATCAGAACCTAAACACTCCACACCTGCTAGCTAATTTTAAACATTACTCACGTGTGTGAAGTGTTCAAACAGGTATTACAGGATTTTAAAAATATCATTATGCAAACAAGCTGATATTTTATATGACTTCTTTGTACATATCCAACTGTGCAAGGACTAAAAACTCACTTGACTATGCTCTCTGGAATGTGCACATACTCCATGGGGATCAGCTCACTCAGTTCTGCCAAACTGTTGACATACTTAATCTTGCTGCTGAATTTTGAGCTACAAGAATGAAACAGAGAGCAGAGTCAGAAAGAAACAGAAATGCTGTGTTTCATCTTCCTTGTATGTTCATGTCTGAAAAACTGACATTGGCAAAGGCCCATTTCTGTAGGGTGAGAGAGTCCGGAGGCAGGCTACACAGAGACAGAGAGACGGAGACAGGCTACACGGAGACAAAGAGACAGAGACAGGCTACACAGAGAGACGTAGACAGACTACACAGAGACAGAGACAGGCTACACAGAGACAGAGAGACAGAGACAGGCTACACGGAGACAGAGAGACAGAGACAGGCTACACGGAGACAGAGAGACGTAGACAGGCCACACGGAGACAGAGAGACCGAGACAGGCTACACGGAGACAGAGAGACAGAGACAGGCTACACGGAGACAGAGAGACGTAGACAGGCCACACGGAGACAGAGAGACAGAGACAGGCTACACGGAGACAGAGAAACGTAGACAGGCCACATGGAGACAGAGAGACGTAGACAGGCCACACAGAGACAGAGAGACGTAGACAGGCTACACAGAGACAGAGACAGGCTACACAGAGACAGAGAGACGTAGACAGGCTACACAGAGACAGAGAGACGGAGACAGCAGCACACTGGACTGTGGCAGCAACACAGTGAGCAAAATACAACAGAGAAGAATGAAAGTGTTACATGTGATGACTGATAATTGTTTAATACAGTGGACTCCAGCCTCTTTTTTGGTACAGTGAGAGCTACTTCAACACAGAAATTAATCAAGGGAGCCCCGGCAATAGATCGGGGTGGTGGGCTGCCCCTCAATATACTTTGCCGTTTGCCGACTATGAATGTCTTGAAGATTGACTTGTTGGTCAGGCTCAACCAGTTGGTGACCATTGATTTAAGATAGGTGGGACAACCAAAGAGGGAGGAGGAATGGAGGAGAGGAAAAGCCAGAAAAAAACTAGAGTTCAGCCAAGGACTGCTGCAGTTTTAACAGAAACGTTCCCACCTACTCCTGGCTCCTAGCCTCTGTTCTCAGCTAAATCCTTTATCGACTCGTAAGATACTAACAAAGTTTACTGATTATCCTATTTGACTATAGTGAGTGCTAGAATAGGACAAACCTACACCAGATTTAATGCAATATATATTTCATCTATTGACTGACCTGAAACTGCTACTATATCTGGCTGTAAATCTTTTCCAATTTCAACAGCTTGAAAGGAATGCAGAAAAGCAAGTTTATAACAAGCTGGCTCATTGGCTGATAATAGTATTGGTATGTACCTTCCGTATGCTGCAATTAAAATGTAATATCTTTTGACAAATGGCCTCTTTCTGAGAAAAATTATGAGCAATAATTCAGTCAGGCAAGCGGACAGGTAACTCCACTCAAACTGACAACAGCAACTACCTGATGAAGGGCCTGGTAACCGCAAGGATGGTTCTGATGAACCAAGAAGGGTGGACGATAATGAAGGATTTCAGATTCTTCCTCAGCCTGAGTGACAACAGAGAACAGCTCATCTTCATACAAGTTCATATATAAAAGACAGGTATCCAGAAATGTCTTTGTATTGCAATAGACACACGACACTGGTGAAGTCATACTGTTTTTTCAATCGCTTTGGCACTAGTCTCAGAACATGATTTCATTTTTCAAAACTCTAGGCACAACACTCACAGCTGATGATCAAAATGCACATTTTTCAAAACTCACTTTTTCCAAATGCTTGGATACAATACACATAAACCAAGGATCATCAACTGTGGCCTCAATCATCAGAACCTTCCACAATGAGAACTGCTAAATCTTCAGCACGCACTACAATGAACATTACAGCACTGCAGAGTACTACTCTTATTTTTCAGATGACTGTATACTGCTTGCCAATGTGTAGCACAAAGTATGTTATGTGACTATGTAAATGTATCCTACAGTATGGAGTCATGTTTCTCCTGTAATCTTCCCTACAGAATTAAGATTAAACCAACTAGTGGAAGCCAAGGAAGACGGACTCTTAACTTGACGGACTCTCCATTTAATTAAACTCAAATAAAACGAAACATATTTGTGTATTTTCCGTTTCTTTTTTATATATACACTCAAAAGGGAAGCAAGTGAAATAAATAACAGAGTAGCGGGAAGATGCGGTAAAAATAAAACTACTTATATGTTTACCAGTGGGATTTTGCGGGCGGGAGCGGGACTAAATTTGAATACTGCGGGCAGGAGCAGGAGAAAATAATATTTTTTTTTTTCCGGGAGCGGGACAGAATCTTGCGGTAGCAGGCAGGAGCAGGACTGAAAAATACGTCCCGCGCAGGTCTCTACCTTGTACTTGCTCATACTGTACAATGCAGAGTTCCTTGTAGCATTCCTAGATGAGCTATCTTTGGTCTGTAAAGCTTTTGGCGTGACCTATATTATTGTGTGGGACAATGTCAGGTTCCATCATGCTGAACTGGTGGGGGCATGGTTAAAGGCCCATTTATAATTCACCACCGTATATTTGCACCCATACTCTCCTTTCCTCAACCAAGATGAGGAATTATTCTCCACATGGAGGTTAAAACTGTATGATAGACACCTGCCTCAACAAGTGACCCTTCTCCAGGCCATGGATAATGCATGCGAGAACTTCACAGAAGACCAGAATCAGGCCTGAATTCGACGTGCCACAAGGTTTTTTGTTTTTTTTGGTAGATACTGTAAGTGTTGCTTTAATTTAAAGGGAACCTCTGTTGTGATTTACACATGTATGTGTTTCAGATTTATTCAATGATTCCACTGCATCTTTAGTATCCTCTCTACTGGTCCTATTACAGTGACATTAGGTATAGCACCATGATGAAACATGTATCACATATTCTGTATTACAATATCTAATGGTTGTATGAACAGTGAAACTACTGGTATCTTGTGTGTGGGTGATCTAAAGAAATGTCTCCATGATTCTGTAAGCTGTAAGTGCAAGGTTTCTTTAAAAAATAATGCAAAATGCAATGTCTTGAACATTAGACAGTCTGTGTTACAAGTGGTGACCATTTGAGTTGTGTCTTAAGTTTTGAAAAATGACATCAAGCTTCTGTACCTAGTGCCAAAGTGATTGTAAAGAGCTGTGAATGAGAGTGACCACTGGATCTTCAAAGAGCCACGCCAAGTTTTACTAAGCACCCGAGTGAGATCTGAGCTGAGGAGAGTCCAAGATGTGTCTGTGCACCTCCTCACTACGTTTGACGGCTGATACCTCCTGTCTATCATGTGATAGCACTTCTTCAGCCAGCCCAGGCCAGGCATTCTCCTGCGTGGTGTGGCTCCATTCAGATACACGATCATGTAGTCCTCTGCTACCATAAGCTCCAGGGTGCTTATCACATAGCTGGAGACATGGAGGCACACAATTCACAGATCAGTCACTTGTTTTCCTGCCTGCATAGTAACCTTGTTGAGGGAAGTGTTGACCAAAATGAGGGCTAAGTGATTTCAGTGGGGTAGAACTGCAGGGCTTGAACCTGTCAGAGAGTCCACTTCCATCTTATCTACCCAGGACACAAACAATGACTCACCAGCACATTGTACTGTACTATTAGAGATGCTCCGATCAGCATTTTTGGGGCCGATTACCGATCACCAAGATCATGATCTGCCGATTGCCGATCACTGCCGATCACAGAATGGCAGGGGAATGGGAATCTTTTATCTATAATCTAGCAGAGTTTGCACCATTTGTGGAAATGAAACTAACTGTAAATTGACTATATTGGAAAAAAACTGTAGAAATAGGCTACAGTCAAGATCTTGAAGAACCCCCAAGTGTTTATTTTAGAGAATGAGAACTTAAGGCTACTGTAG